TATTACCATATTCATACTGTAAACAATTTATAAAATACATTATATGGCATACCATATTACATTAGGGAATTTTAATTTTATTGGTTCTACAGCTTTAATTTTATAAACATTTTGATGTTAACCTCCAGAAAAAAAGAATTCAGTTCAGTGTTTACACATCTGAAATACTAAAAACTTCTAGTGAGAAAACCAAGTTAACTGAAATTCCCTAAACAAATCTTACATTCACAATCACTGTACTCGCCTTCAACTGATTCCAGAGTGTCTCCAATTAAGGTTTTTTAGAAATTTATCTTGGGGCTGGCGCTGTGGCATAGCAGGTAAAGCCGCCATCTAGCAGAGCCGGCATCTTATATGGCACTAGTTCGAGTTCCCGCTGCTCCACTTTTGATCCAGCTCTCTGCTATGGCCTGGGAAAGCAGTGGAAAATGGACCCTTGGACACCTGCACCCACATGGGAGACCCGGAAGAAGCTCCTGGCTCTTGGCCTTGGATAGGCGCAGCTCGGGCTGTTGTGGCCTTTGAGGGGAGTGAACCAGCGATGGAAGATACCTCTCTCTCTTTCTGCCTCTCCTTCTCTCTGTAACTCTTTCAAATAAATAAATAAATATTGAAAAAAAAAAAAAACAAACTTGGGGCCGGCACTGTGGTGCAGGTTAATCCTCCACCTGCGGCACCGGCATCCCATATGGGCACCGGTTCTAGTCCCTCCTCTTCCCATCCAGCTCTCTGCTATGGCCTGGGAATGCAGTAGAGGATGGCCTCGCACCCGCGTGGGAGACCCAGAAGCAGCTACTGGCTTCTGGCTTCAGATTGGCGTAGCTCTGGCCATTTCAGCCATTTGGGGAGTGAACCAGCAGACGGAAGACCTTTCTCTCTGTCTCTCCCTCTCATTGTCTGTAACTCTACCTCTCAAATAAATAAATGAAAAATCTTTAAAAAAATAAATAAATTTGGCCGGTGCCGCGGCTCACTAGGCTAATCCTCCGCCTAGCGGCGCCAGCACACCAGGTTCTAGTCCCGGTCGGGGCGCCGGATTCTGTCCCGGTTGCCCCTCTTCCAGGCCAGCTCTCTGCTGTGGCCAGGGAGTGCAGTGGAGGATGGCCCAGGTGCTTGGGCCCTGCACCCCATGGGAGACCAGGAAAAAGCACCTGGCTCCTGGCTCCTGGCATCGGATCAGCGCGGTGCGCCGGCCGCAGCGCGCCGACCGCGGCGGCCATTGGAGGGTGAACCAACGGCAAAAGGAAGACCTTTCTCTCTGTCTCTCTCTCTGTCCACTCTGCCTGTCAAAAAATAAAAAAAAATAAAAATAAAAAAAATAAATTTATCTTGCCTCTACTCAGCTTTCCTGTTAAAATGGTGAGGGTCATTTTTTCTGAAACCCTGAAACATCTCCTCTTTGAAAAGTCAAGGTCTATATGAATACCTAAACAATGTTTAACTTTTGAAACAAAGGCTGATTTTTAATTTACATATTGAAAGACACAGAACTAGAACTGTGTTAATTATGTGCATGTTATTCCTTAATATAACTAAAAACTGAGTTTTTCAGTCACAATAGTAGTATTTCAAAGTACTCAATGGCTGTGATTAAAAGATTTCTATCATCATAGGAAGTCTCTTTGGATATGGAGTTCCTCAACTTACTTTCTTCCTTTCTCTCTTTCTCTCCTTCCTGCCTTTCTTTCTTTCAAAGGCAGAGTGAGAGTGAAAGGAAAGGAGATTATCTTCCATCTACAAGTTCCCTCCCCAAACGGCCACAGCAGCCTGGGCTGGACTAGGTCCAAGCCAGTTGCCAGGAACTCCATCTAGATCTCCCACATGGGTAGCAGGACTCAAGCACTTGAGCCACAATCTGCTGCTTCCCAGGCACATCGGCAGAGAGCTACATTGGAAGTGCAGCCGCCAGGACTGGAACCCAAATATTGTGATGCCAACATCACAAGCATCAGCTTAACCTGCTGCACCACAGTGCTGGTCCCACAATTTTTCTCTTTTGAGTAAGCTCTGAGAAAGCTGCTTGTGTTCTGATTCCAATATCATCCAATGCTCTCTCTAGTTTTTTCCCATTAATCTAACCTACTATTTTCAATAATCTACTTGATATTTCAATGCTTTCTCAGCTGGAGAGATGCAGATGGTGACTGTAAACGACTAAGGCAGCTAGCTGCAAGAAAACCAGTAAGTTATAACCTAATCAGGAACAAGAGATATATATATATTTATATATGTATGTGTGTGTGTGTGTGTGTATGTATATATATTTCACAGGCTGCATTTAAGACAAGCAGAAATTGGTGCTGCAAAAAAACAACAGATAAATACTTAATTAAATACAAATAAATTTTAATTTTCTAGAAATAGCTAATGTTGGTTTTATTCCAAGAGTTTGTTTTTTAAAAGGCAAAACTTCTGGCTGGCATTGTTGCACAGCAGGTTAAGCTGCCACCACTTGGTACACCCACACCCCCTGAAGCACTGATTCAAGTATCAGCTACTCCACTTCCTATCCAGCTTCTTGGTAATGCGCCTGGGAAGGCAGCGGATGATAACCAAAGTACTTGGGTTTCCTGACACCCACGTGGAAGACCCAGATGGATTTCCTGGATCCTGGCTTCAGCTTGCCCTAGCCCTGGCTGTTGCAGCCATTTGGGAGGTGAAACAGCATTGAAAGAAGATTCTCTCCCTTCCTCCTCCTCTCTACTATTCTACCTTTCAAATAAATTAATAACTTTTTAATCTTTAAAAGAATTCAGATTAAAAGATATAGTTTTAAAAAGAAGTTAAAACTTCACTGTGATTAAAATAAAATTAGATGTAAAAATAAGGCCATCCCCCAAAACACTCACATAGAAATCTTCAGAAACCAATGAAAATGAAAAAAGGAATTTCCAAAATAATGCTGGCACACTCACATACTTAATAAACATTTATTACAACTATAAAATTCTGAAATAAGGTATATATCAAATCAAATACAAAACAACAGTCATTAAATACTCACCACGTGCCAGGCTTTGGAAAACATGAAACAAAAGCAAAAACAAAAGACTGCCCTCATGGAGCTGAGTCTCGCTGAAGCAGACAAACAGTCACAAATACCACAGCCAAGCATCAGGGAAGCTTTATGCAAGCAGGGATTGGTTCTGCCTGGAGAACGCAGGGCAAGCTTCCCAGAGATGGAGACAATGGAGCTGCACCTTGGATGAGCAGGAGTTCACCAGATGGAGGGGAAGGGGCAAGCGCATTCCAAGCAGAGGAAACAGCACATGAGCAAGCAGAATCTTGAAAGTGCATGCGATGGTGCGGGACGATGAGCGGTCCAGCGCAGCTAGAGCAGGAAGGTGCACACACACTAAAGAGATGAAGCAGGTTTTGGTTTGTAATGAACCATAATTGTCAGGAAGTAAATCTTCATATGACACTTAATGCACTTAAACTGTGATTCTGGTGACAACAGTGTAATTTGAAAGCATTCTGTTCACTTTATAAATATTTGAACCCCTTCTAGCAACTAGCAATGTGATAAAGAGTTTTCAAAAAGCAGTCTTAGAAATATAAATCTTAATTTTCTTCTAGATTTTTAATAAGCAAAATAACCCCAGAATAAAGGTTTTCTTAAATTGAAATATAGGGGAGATCACTTATATGTACAGGGTCCCAACTTCTGTTAACCTGAGCTCCACTCCTATGACTATCTGTTCTCCTTCTTATCACCTTGTGAACTATCAATCCAACAGCACAGTTGAGAAGTACAGAAGTAATTCAGCCTTCCCTTCTATTCTGCTTCACTAAACAGGGAAGCTGCCACCGCCCCTACAGAAATCAATGCATTCTGACCTCCTGACCTGTTTTTAGAAATTAAACTATTGTAAAGCAAACGATTAAGCTGAATTCTAAATAAAAACATGCATAAAGCAGAGACCTCAGATCCTTCAGAAAAAAAGAAAAAGGAAGAAATCCTAGGTCAGAAAGTTTTATACACTGGCCACCAGGCAGCACTGTTCACCAGGTTTGCTTTGGTGCTCAGGAAGGTGACAGTTCAGGTAAGGTGCAGAGGGGAAAGGAATGGAACTATCAACGGTCAAATGCTTTAACTAGATGTTTGTAAAGAAACTCCCATTTACCGCTCAAAATAATGCGAAGAGAAAATTTTATTCTTACTTTTAAAAATGAGAACCTGAGGTCCTCAGAAGCTAATAAGCAGCAGGGCTTCACCAAACTACACCTACCTGAGCCCACAGCCCTTCCCACTGAGTGCACTGCCTCGGGCTCCTAAAGTGCATGCAGCACTCCCTAGGACATGCAAGGTTACAGCAGTCCTATCCAAAGAAAGAAAAGTCCCTACTTCTCCCTTACCTACTTCCACATTGCCAGGTGACACAATGGCAGTGGCAACACACAGACACACAGACCTCTGAAATCTACAGAAAGAAAAATTGGTTCCATGTTTCACAGGAGCCCTTGGCAGAAAAGATGTTTTCTTTGTAAAGATACTGGGTGCTTTAATACATTTAAATTAGCACCAACACTCAAATGTGACTGGCTTAAACTGTTATATAAGCAGCTCAATAAAATTAAGAGCTAATGAAAAAAGTCTCCAGTCACATCAGCAAAGTCAAAACAAAGCGTGCCTTTTCTCAAATTCTGAAAATTAGTTAAGTGACAATAAATTATGTGGTAAGAACACTAGCCAAATTAAACTTATGCCTCTTTTTGGGCAACAGGAAATATTTTAAGAAATACAAATGTGGACAATTAACAATGTAAACAGTCCCAGTTGGTCAAAGGTGTTGTATGTGTTGGCCCAGAGATACTGAAATGCTTTTTTCTACTGCACACTACGTTCCCTTCGTGTAAGTACTGCCAAATACCAGAAAATGTTTCAGATTTATAAGTCAAAAAGTTTTGTGAGGCAAGGGGGCATTCCAATGTAACTTAACATACTTTTTGAAGAACTTCTGAAGTCGTATATGTACGCCGTAAGTAAGTAAACCAACCTTATTCTGATTGAGAGGATCGTTCCGTAGTCTCTGTTTGTTCTTCTGTAATTTACTAGGCATCATCTTTCCAGTTCTGAAATCAAAACTGCTGAGGTCCACAGTATTTCCAAGATACCTTGCCAACTGAGGTTTGCTTCTGAACTTCTTACCACTTGGACTAGAAGAAAGATAAAGTTAGTTGTACAAAAGGTAGTATTATTTACCTTAGATCACTACAAAATTTTGCCTTCATGCCATCCTTTCTGTCCCCAATTATCATAACACTATAATTTCAAATTTGTGTGCATTTTTTAAAGTAAATATTCAAGTCTCAAATGAATTCTGTGAGAAGAGAGAACAAGTCATCAATTGAGTATAGGACTCCCTGAGGTCCAGCACCATAGCACATCACAGCCATCACTACAGATCATCCTACGGTCACTCACTGCAACCAGGGAGAGAAAACACAAACTGCCTGCAGAGCACACGCTCACTGTTAAAACATCTTCAATCTTACAAACTTTCTTTCCAAACTGACTCCTGACATGTTACCTATTTCCTGTAATTATGAAACATATAAATTTTGGTAATAATAACTTTAGAATAAGTACTTCTAAAGTCAACAACCCTTGTAAAACACACACACACACATACACAAACACTCAGAACCTATATAATCGTTGAGCTACTTACTTGGACTCATAAGATTTATAACAGAAATAAGTTCTTGCATTTTGACAATGTTTAAGTGCTCCCTAATAACTCCTACTTTAGAGAAGCAAATTAAGAATAATTTGCTTCTTGTAAGAAACAGTACCAAAGCTGAAAATTAACAAAAGTGTCAGAATTACACAGAGAGGGCCAGCGCTGTGGCGTAGTGGTAAAGTCACAGTCTGCAGTGCCAGCATCCCATATGGGTGCCAGTTTGAGTCTCCGCTACCCCACTTTCGATTCAGCGCTCTGCTGTGGCCTGGGAAAGCAATATAAGATGGCCCAAGTCCTTGGACCCCCACACCCACATGGGAGACACAGAGGAGGCTCCTGGCTCCCGGCTTCGGATCAGTGCAGCTCCATCCAGCCACTGGGCCATCTAGGGAATGAACCAACAAATGGAAGACCTCTCTCTCTCTCTGTGCCTCTGCCTCTGTAACTCTGCTTTTCAAATAAAAAAATAAACCTTAAAACAAAAAAAGAATTACACAGAGAAATAAATTAAATTACTTTCTTAAAAAATTTTTCTTGTGATGCATTAATCTATAAAAAATGTTTTATAAGAAGAATGCCCAAAATGTGCTAGAACAAAGTCAGTGTGGTATGTATGTGACAGTTTTAGGATGCCTCTCAAAGACAACATTTAATGTTTAGAACTTAACCTGGCACCAAAAGACCACAATTAAATAAAAATACAATTCAACCAGAAGACAGAAAAAGACTAGGAAACCACGTGATAAAATGTTCCTTTGGAACCATCAAAGTTCTCTCTGGATCAAATCACAGTCAATATTCCTCACTTGTCACAAACTATGGCACTCAGGCTACCAAAGACATCAAGACAAGTGAAGATCTTATTAATGCTGTTCGTGCACAATCACATGACTTACACATTTCTGAAGCAGAATTCAACATATACAGAATTTAGCCAACACATGAAGATAACAACCAGTAGCCACCAGAACATAACAGAATACAGCAAATCAGACAAGAACCAGAAAATATCAGGAGAAAAAATAGTCGTATGGGATTCTACGAGGCTACTCTAAAACCCTTGTGGAAAAATGTAATTAAAAGATGTTTGTTGCCGGCCGGCGCCGCGGCTCACTAGGCTAATCCTCCACCTTGTGGCGCCGGCACACCGGGTTCTAGTCCCGGTTGGGGCGCCGGATTCTGTCCCGGTTGCCCCTCTTCCAGGCCAGCTCTCTGCTGTGGCCAGGGAGTGCAGTGGAGGATGGCCCAGGTGCTTGGGCCTGCACCCCATGGGAGACCAGGAAAAGCACCTGGCTCCTGGCTCCTGGCATCGGATCAGCGCGGTATGCCGGCCGCAGCGCACCGGCCGCGGCGGCCATTGGAGGGTGAGCCAACGGCAAAGGAAGACCTTTCTCTCTGTCTCTCTCTCTCACTGTCCACTCTGCCTGTCAAAAAGAAAATAAAAAAAAAAAAAAAGATGTTTGTTGCCCTAAACAGCACTCTGGCCTCAGAATCAGCCCTTAAGGCATTTGGATCTGGCTGAAGAGCCCATGAGTGTCGGGGTCTCAAGCCCAGTGCTAGCCCCTGACCAGCAGGGGCAGCACAAGCACTCCCCAACAAGGTGAACGGGAAGGGCAAGGTCGACAGGTGATGAACACACCACAAGCACCCGTTCTGTCGAAGCAGAAACCGCTTTACTGAGGAAGTGTACAGGCTTATAAAGCTTACAAAGGACATGCGCAGTAGGGGAGCCAATCAGAGAAAAGGTCACGCAGGTATGGGTGGACCACACACAGGGGCACCTTAAGTAAAGTATAGAGATCACGCACTGTCCACGTGTCCAGAACTAAAGCGGACCTATCATTGCCAGTGGTTTGATCTTATGTAGCTTAACAGCGGCAGCTGCAGAACGTCCACCAGGCACCATATTGTAATGGAAATTTTAGGCAATGCCCAACACAGGAGAGCATTTCAGACAGGGAAAGCCAAGATACTACGGCAAAAAATGACCTACATGAAAGATCCTGTGAGTGAGATCCCAGTGGAAAGGGGCCATCAAAGAAGGAGGTATATTTCTCGGAAGGGAGGAGAGAACTTCCACTTTGCTTATGGCCCTGTCTAAATACTGACGTGTTTGTGGATTCAAAAGGCTTCCACAGCCTTGGCAGTTCATGTCAAGAGCCTCGGGTGATCACTGACATCATAAGTAAAAGTGTCAATTGTTAAATCAACAACAGAAGTCACTGTGCAGTTGCTCCCCATGCACAACCTCTGTCCTTAATGAGTTGTACTATGAGAATTAATGGTAAAACTTGTCTCAAACAGTGCTTTATACTTTGTGTGTCTATGTGGGTGCAAACTGTTGAAATCTTTACTTAGTATAGAGTTGGTCTTCTGTATATAAAGAAAATTAAAAATGAATCTTAATGAATGGGATGGGAAAGGGAGTAGGAGGTGGGATGGTTTGGGGTTGGGAGGGCGGATATGGGGGAGAAGAATCGCTATATTCCAAAAGCTGTACCTATGAAATTTATATTTGTTAAATAAAAGATTTCTAAAAAAAAAAAGATGTTTGTTGGGGACAGTGCTGTGGCATAGCAGGTAAAGCCGCCACCTGCAATACTGGCATTCCATGTGGGCACCAGTTCTAGTCCCAGCTGCTCCATTTCCAATCCAGCTCTCTGCTGTGGCCTGGGAAAGCAGTGGAAGATGGCCCAAGTCCTTGGGCCCCAACACCCACATGGGAGAAGGAAGAAGCTCCTGACTCCTGGCTTGCGATCCGGGTGTTGTGGCCAACTGGAGAGTGAACCAGCGGATGGTTGACCTCTCTCTCTCTCTGCCTCTCCTTCTCTCTCTGTGTAATTCTGACTTTAAAATAAATACATATATCTGTAAAAAAAAAAAAAATGTTTGGTATAAGCTGAAATTGAGTCATACACAAACACACACAAACACATTTACCATGACCTTTTTGACGATCTTCAACTTCCACTCCAATGCTAACCTGCATTTCCAAACATGCTCAGTCCTTTTCAGTATTTCCATCTCCAAACCCCATCTTTGTTAAAGGCATCCCTGCCTGTCTAGGATTTAACACTGCAAGCCAGAAGGCCATAGCACAATCCTCCAGTGCCCCATCCCTGAGCACACATCCAGTTCCAAGTTCTACCAGTCAGGGAGTCCTCAGTGCTGACAAAACAACTTCACCTTCTTAGTAAGACATCAAACGCTTTCTGTCTACTAAACACATTTTTTTCCCAGACTTCCTATTAGTCCTGGTATCTCACATTCCAAACTCACAATCACCAAAATACACCATACACCTTTGACTCTTCTAGTCATGTCTGAAGATGGAAGGACAGCCATAGCAACATCCTGCTTGGCAAAAGGCTATTCAATCCTCCCCAACAAGCGAAAATGTCACCTCCCCTAGGAAGCCCTGTTATTCTCCATTCCAAGTCAGAAATAATCCTGGGTGCCAGCACTGTGGCACAGAGGGTTAAAGCCCCAGCCTGCTGCACTGGTATCCCATATGGGCATCAGTTCAAGTCCCAGCTACTCCACTTCCAATCCAGGTCCCTGCTAATGCACCTGGGAAAGCAGTGGAAGATGGCCCAAGTCCTTGGGTCCCTGCATCCATGTGGGAGACCTGGAAGAAGCTCCTGGCTCTTAGATTCAGAATGGCTCAGTTCCAGCCATTGGGGACATTTGGACAGTGAACCAGTGGATAAAAGACCTCTCTCTTTCTCTCTGCCTCTGCCTCTCTTTAACTCAGCTTTTCAAATAAATAAATAAATTTTTAAAAATTAGAAATAATTCTGTCTCCTACAAGTATTATTTAATTACAATGATTCCTATGCATTTCCTTAAAGACTTCAACAACCACAAATTACAATACCACTTTTCAAAAACGGTCAAACATTATAGAGGCTAGCACTAAACAAGGTAACTTTGCTGCAACCATAAAATCTCATCAGTTGAACAGTAAAAGCTATACCTTTTGTTTGGAGAGAGTGTTTTGATGAATTCAACATTAATTTAAAAATGATATTGCAAAGAATTTTAAAAACTGAACTGGGTGGCCAGCGCCGCGGCTCAACAGGCTAATCCTCCACCTAGCGGCGCCGGCACACAGGGTTCTAGTCCCAGTCGGGGCGCCGGATTCTGTCCCGGTTGCCCCTCTTCCAGGCCAGCTCTCTGCTGTGGCCCCGGGAAGGCAGTGGAGGATGGCCCAACTGCTTGGGCCCTGCACCCCATGGGAGACCAGGAGAAGCACCTGGCTCCTGCCTTCGGATCAGCGCAGTGCGCCAGCCGCAGCGCACCAGCCATGGCGGCCATTGGAGGGTGAACCAACGGCAAAGGAAGACCTTTCTCTCTGTCTCTCTCTCTCACTATCCACTCTGCCTGTCAAAAATAAATAAATAAATAAATAAACTGGGAAATATTTTTATGGTTAATCTGTTATACTACAAATGAAGTACAAGTGGTACTAAA